ATTAGGCCCAGGGAAGAGATTTGGCCTGTATTTCTGGATGCACAATGCCCAAAAACAGAATTTAAAATGGGTGCTAAAATAAGAAGTATGGGCATTTGACACTATAAATATTGTGTAAATATTAAATAAATATTTAAAGTAAAATTGCTTTAAAATTGTATTAAAGATGGAACAGATAGTCAAAGAAATAATCATGAATGGGACAAGGAAAAAAACCCCTTCATTATCTTCTTTAAAACAGAAATCACTGTATTTCCAAATAATACAGCTGATATAAATAAGTACGTAAGATACTTTTTAGAACGGTTAGAATATTTTGCTTTCTGCCCCACATATTTATATTAAAGATAATAGGGCATAAACTTACCCATTTGGTGGCATCACATCTTTCTGAAGACTTAATTCATGTATACCTGTTTCACACCCAGATATTTCAATTCTTCCCATGGGGCTGTCCAGGACCACAAGCATCATTTTACATTGAGCTTTTCCATCTTTTAAAGCCATCTGTTCACAGGAGAACAATAATTTATAAAAAATTTAAGTATGCACATTTCCCCCCAGGAACCAACATCTCAAAAATCTGTAGTGTTAAACATAATTTTATTCTGAAGACTTTTAAAGAGGAAATACTAGAAAGCAGAGTAAGAATTCAAAGTACTTAAACTTACTCTAATTATATGCTGTACTCCTATACTGGATTAAATGTGATCAATGTAGCCTTGCAGGAAGACAACATAGCGTCTAAATCAAACTCTTAAACTGTTAACTAATTAAACACTGACCTGCTCAAAATCACAAATAATAGCAGTTTAATGGTAGATTTGTTAGTAAACACCTAAAGAAAAAGAAAACTTGTTTTGACACCAATTTAAAAGGGATTACTATGACAATAAAGCATATTTACTGCTTTACAAAGGCAATATTAGGTGAATAACAGCACATAGGAAACGGCTGTCCTGCAAAAACAAAACAAATACAACAAATCAATGCTTAGTCAAGGACACAATTTATTCCTACCATTATAGTCAACTTTCTACAATAGCCAATAATGCATGCTTGTAAACAGATGCCAAACCTTTCTCAATATTCTACAAGGAACAACAATAGTACCACACATTCCTTAATATTTGGTTTGACAAAAATGTTTGCAGTCAGCAGGTAGAGTTTATTTGGTTTTCCCTAGCATACTCCCTAGCACAGCATATTCTCTAGCATAGCACTCTGCAGCCCAGTGTGTCAGGCACTGTATAAATAGAGTAGGATGATTTTCAAAGAGCTTACAAACCATAGCATAAGAATGAAAAGGAATGGGAGAAAACAGGAGAAGAAACAAACAACACCAGACAACTTGATAAGATCCTACACTGCCAATGGAAGAAAGGGAAATATTTATAGTTATATGCTTTGATGTCATATGCGTCTGCCATTTGCAGCACACTTATCTGCATATATGGGCAGATTTCGTCCTACCCCGTGTGAGGATATAGAAGTGTGCTGTCATAATCTGCCATGATCTGTAAATGACACCCTTGAATGCTGCAGAGAAAGTCTTGACAAGCTCTTCTGCTCAGTCAGAGCCCCAAAACTCTGATATAGAGTCTTGTCTCCTTTGAGCTTCCCAACCTACCAGAGGCATCCGTCACAATGGTCCTGGTGTGAGGGGGAAAAAGGGCATTCCTTTGCATATGTTGGACAAAATCATCCACTATTTAAGGAAGCCAGGACAAGGGGCCTTCACCCTTACAGGAAGATATCCTGGAGAATACAGTTTGCAGCCATCAGATCCTAAAAGCCCTTGGAGTCATCTATTGGTTGGTCAAAGTCAGAATAACAGGTGGAGTTGCAGATACTCTGAAGAGTTGAATTATTAAAAATGACCTTGGATAAACTGGAGAAATGATCCCCCCCCCCCCCAAAAAAAA